TCAAATAGAAAATGTAAATTAAGGGAAGGGAGTGCAGTGGAACTTTATTTGCAAGGGGACTGAATTGGAAGTTCATTATAGGAGAGGGGATTTAACTTGAATTTACCGATCATCAATTTGGAACATGAATATTCTTATTTATTCAATGAAATACATAAGTCAAACTAACTAACCAGTCACAAATACGCAAATTGCCCCATAACCTAACTCATAAAGACCTGCGCATGTAAAGAATACTAAACATTCAAAACAAGACCCACCAACCACAGAAAAGGATGAACAAAACAAAAAGAAGACAAGAAGAAACAAAACTACAAGAAACGCTTCTCTTCCAATCCCCCCTCTCTCAAACCCCCCTCGCGTCAAGTTCTTCACTAGTTGCAAACCAAGAGACACTCCCAAAAGCATCACCTTACCATGCAACTAATATCCTCGACTCGAAACGCCCAAAGACAAAATAAGTTGTGACAACAAGATGTCGACGAACCGGAAGCTTCCGGAATAGCCCAAACAACCAAACACAGACACGATATGCAAGTAAGAACCGAAATCCCACCCCCACGCGAACCATCCCTCAAAACCATAGTAAGCTAATCCAATGCATAAAAGGATAAAAGCGCCATCGAGCAATTGCTTCGCGCAACTTTTGAGCTTCAAGGGTTCGATCGTCGACCTCCGAGAAGATTCTATATGTTGTAGAGATAAATTATACAATACGACAATTAATACCGTGAACCATGTGGGCGCATACGTATATTCGGAGATTGCATAGATGCCCAAATTGAGAAAAAACGAACTTGTGAATATTGGCTTATGTGTTTATATATATAGGGAGAGAAAGCGCCAAAGGAAAGAGATATCAACTCCTTTTAATATTAGGAGTCCTTTTCAAATTAAGGTTTGGACACATAATTATTATTTTTTTTCTTTTTCATACTTTTGATTTTCCTTTTTTCTTTTCTTCACAATCTTGGCCATTGATTCATTCAATCAGAATCCAACGGCTGAATTAAATCAATATTAAAAGACTGTAATGAAATCTTGATTCAGACTTTACACGTGTCAAATGTTAATTAATGGAAAGTTGTGTGTGTTGACTTTTAATTTCGAAACCATATAAACCATATTATTGGTTTTGGGCGAAGTCCCATAGATTAACAATTTAACGTTGATTTGTTCAATGGAAAAAAGATTATTTTAAAAAATTGTTTTTTCTAAGTGTGTAAATCTCTAAGGAATCTCCTATAACTCTCCTCTCTCCTCTATCGAAAAAAAAGCCAAACCCTAACGCTTTCGTCATCTATATCGCGTCGCCTTCCTCGACGGCAGTACGACGCCGGCCGGTGGTCGCGTTCGACCGCCGCCCCTCCTCTATCGTCCCAGAACTCTGGTGTTGCTGCTGTGAGCTGAAGCTTGTCCGTATGCCCAACCCTTCTCCGCCGGTGTTCTTGCGATTGGAGGTGGCGGGCTCTTTGGTCACCGATTGGCTCGCAATTGGTGTCTTTTGCCCGTAGGTCTTGATTGAAGGTGAGTTTACCTCCAATTTTAGCTTCTCTGTATATTCTGGTGCGAACAAAGGGCCTTATGGGCGGTTTGATTTTTTTTTTTCCAGCGAAACATCGTTTGGGGTTTTCTCATTCTGCTGCCGGTGGTATGCAGCGATATTAGTTGGTCTGTGGGTTGAGAGGCGGGGTGAGGCTCTGATGCTGTGTCGGAGTCAAAGGCCCGAGCCGCCCCCTTCCTCGTCTTGTGGTGTTAGACGGTGGATTCTGGTGCTCCGATGCTCGGCTAGTGGTGCTAGGCTTGCTCGGGTGGTGCTATAGTGGGTGCGTGTTCGGTCTGTCCTTTCGGTTGAGGCAGGTCGCTTTGGAGTTTGGTTGTGTTCGGCCTCGACTTCTTGTATAGGCCTTGTGGCAGTTTAGGGAGCCGTCCTCTGGACATGGATTATCCTTTGATATTGACCGTTCTCCGCTGGTTCGAGCTGGCTGACTTGCTGTGGAAGGGCTTTTATTTAGCTATGTTCCTTTAAATTAGTTTGTTGTTCTTGTTTAGTGTGGTAGTATCTGTGTTTAGTGTGTTAGTATTTGTGTTAATTTGTTTGTTCTTGTTGTTGTTTTGTTTAGTTTTGCTTTGTTTTAGTTGTGTTTGTTTAGTCCTTGTTGCGGCTTCCTCTTTTTCCCCAGCGTGGATGATTTTCAGAGTCCATATCTGAACCGAGAGCAGTCTCTTCTCCACATCCGTCTAGGCGGCACGAGTGGCCGCATTTTTTGGGCTTGAGGTTTCGATTTGTGGCTGTGTTGGATCTCTTTGCTAGTGGTTGTGGATCGCCGGTGGTCAGGTATCGAGCTTGTTAGGTATATGAGAGGTTCTAGTTTATTATGGATTAGGTGTATGTGTTTTATTATCATTTTGTTTTGTTGGTTTGTTAGTGCAGCTGTGTCTGCTTTTAGTGCAATTTTGTCTGCTTTCAGTGCAGCTTGTCTGCTTTTAGTGCAGCTTTGTCTGCTTTCAGTGCAACTTGTCTGCTTTTTTTTTTTTAGTTTTGTTTTAGGTAGTTTGTCTCATTGATGGAGTTTGTACCCCTTGCATGTGATGACAAGGGAGTGGTCCAGTCTTCTGGTTCTAGTGTGTCATTTGACACTTCGATTGTACTTTTTGAGTTTTTAAATTATTTATATAATTGCCGTTTGAAAAAAAAAGTGTGTAAATCTCAATTTATTTCATTTTATTATTTAGGGAGATATTTATTAATTATAACAATCAATTGAGAAGAACTTGAAATTAATTTAATTTGTTGCAACTTTTATATTACATCCTCAATATACACGTGATTTGCAGTTTGAGAATAAATTTGTAAAATTTAATGCTATTGATATTTTCCAAAAACAAAAAATAAAAAAATAAAAATCTGTCCCGGTATGAAATGTTAGTTAAACCGTTGGTTCATGGTACCCGCACATTAATGATTCATTAATTAAAATGAACTCGACCTGCATTAAAGATTAGTACCAATTAATAATTAATAAATACCTATAGTTTTTACATTTTTTTTGCTGTATGTATAAAAATAAAGGAAAATGCTATCGTCCCGTAACGATCATAACCGTTAGATCAATTATAACTTGTTGGAATTATATCACTTGTGAGTTTTCCACACTCTTTCTCCAAATCATGATTTCAACTTTCAAAGTTGATTTCTGTTATTGAGTTTTACCCGTTTTTAAGTTTAATTACCCACAAGAAGAAAATGATGATTACACAAAAAGATTACATATATGTAAATTACAAAGTATATTATATATGAAGAAAAAGGTTCCGAAAGAAGACAATATTATTGACACATAATTTAAAAGGCAATGTTAGTGCCAAAAGTAAAATCTTTTTTGAACTTATAATATAGTGTGAAAAGCACTATTTTTTTCTCCACTTTAATTTATGAATGATCACTCTATAAGTCTTCATCATGACCCACTACTAACCACAGTAAACTTTCTAACCACTATAATCATTTTTTTTAACCATTTTTTTTACCCTACTCTGAAGAACAATTAATCCATGATTCCACCATACCTTCTCCGGCTGCACTGTTACTCTCCGGCCGCTTCCCTCCGCCGCCGTCAAGGAAATCAAATCCGCCATTCAAGGGCCTCAGGTTAAGACTATGCTCTTCACTTTCTTCCTTGTCCTTTCCCGAGTTATTCCGGTCATCGGAGGACAAGAAACCGTGCCCGTGCTGGCCGGCCAAGGTGAACTGCGCCGGCGGGTGGTCGGGGAACGGGAATTTGGGGTTCGGTTGGAGGAGATTGGCGAGAAATGGGTTCTGGAAGACGGTGGGATTCGATGTGGAAGCTCCGGCGGCGGTGCTCGAGGTGACGACGGAGTTGGTGGCCGCGAGGAAGGGGAGGGGCGGCGGGTGGCTCTTCTGGGCGAAGGAGGCAGCGGACCTCGACGGGCCGAAGAGGTCCGTCCGGGCTCGGGTGAAGGACGGGCCGGGGCAGGGGCCGCCGTCGAACGGCAGCGCAGGAATTCCGGTGAATTCTTGGACCATGGCCCGGAAGTTGGTGGTGTCGGTCGTGAGAACGGTGGTGGGGGCCCTCCGGGAGGCCCGTGTCCGCTTCTTCGGGTTTCGGGCCGCGGGTCTGTTCGGGTCCGGCGGTGGCGGCGTGATGGTGGATGAGCCGGGGAGCAGGTTGGCGCCGTCGCGGGCGTTGGGGGGATTTGTCGGGTCGGGTTTAATGGAGGTGATCCGGGCCCAATCTGGGTTCGGGCCAAGGGGTGGTGATGGGTTTGAGTTCTGGTGGAGGTGGAGATAGTTGCTGAACGGGTCGAAGAGCGGCGGCGGCGGCGGGTTGGAGATGGGTCCTCCGCCGCCGCTCATGAAAGCGGAGATGGAGCCTCCGGCGGCGCGTGAGTCGTACTCCTCCTCGCCGCCGCTCGACGACTGCGGACTCCCGCTGTTGCGTGAATCCATTCCGTTTGTCTTTATCTTTCTCCCTCTGTTTTTAGAGTGAGAAAATAAATTACATTTAGAGAGAGAGAGCTGAGAGATTTGTGCAGCTAGAAACAGAAACGGAGTGGGGTCGCCATGAAAGAGGCTAACTTTGTTTTTAGAGAGAGAAAATTGCAGGGGATCATATGTCAAACGGGGGAAGAATGGTATGGGATATTTCTTTCAGCGCGTATTAGAGTATAGAAAGCTATATATAAAATTATTATTGAGAGATGCTACGATCCCGTTATAGAATCATTTCGTCGGGATCAACTATCTCGACGGTTACATGATGATCTAACGGTTATAGACCCCGACAGAATGGTTCCATAACGGGACCGTAGTATTTCTTCTTATTATTATTATCAATATTAACGAGTTATTACAATTTTAACGAGTCAAATTAAGAGTAAATTTTAAAAAAATTGTGAAAAATAATTTTCGTTGTCAAGCCTTGTAGTTCAATTCAGTTCGTTTAGTCGAACCTTAACAGTCCAATTAGAGCTGTGAGGAATTCATTTCGTTCAACAGATCTTTATGTAGGACAAAAATCTACCAATATTATTATCGGTTGAGAGAAAAAGATCTACCATTTCGACTTTGAGAGAAAAAGTTTTGGGCTGGACAGGCTTTTCTCTTTTGACATGTGGTTACTCTAGTAGTATTATTATTCGCGAGTGAGGAACCGAGCTTGTGGTTGCCCACTGCGATTTTGTATGCCGATTATTGATTGTCTGAACCACAATTTTGATCTGTAAATTTACTTTTAACGATAAAAAAAAGATCTACCAATATATTATCAGTTTCTTTTGGTGTACCATCCACACAGTGTTAGTTCAAAATGGAGAAAAAGGTCTTTTTCGTAAGTGAAATTAATTTAAATATTTTATTTTTACTGCTTAAATTGAGAACTAACACGGTAACACCCAATGTAGGGCAATTCATTAATCATTTCAGTTGAAACGTTAAAATTAAAATAATCGAAACGATTTATTTTTTAAAAACGAAATGAGAATGACTGAAATTTTTTTCCCAAATCAAACTGAAATAATCAATTTATTTAGTCGATTAACCAGATTAATCGAAATAAATTATAATTTATATTAAGGATATATATTTAGTATTTTAATGTTTATTTAATATTCTATATTATTTTCTCTAAAAATATATATATATATTTTATATTCGATCGATCAAATTATTTCAACTATTTTTTAAATAAAATCAAAACCGAACCGAAATACCCAAAATTTTAAAGTAATAAACCAATAACCGAACCAACATATCAAATATCGGATTGAAAATTTTATTTCCATTGCTTTTTTTTTTTTTTGGTCGAACATTGCACACCTTTAACCTAGGGCTGCAAACGAGCCGAGCCGAGTCGAGCATTGGCCTTATCGAGCAGGATTGACTTTTTTTTTAGATGCTCGAGCTCGAGATCGAGCTCGTCGAGCTCGATTTTTTTAGGCTCGAGCTCGACTTGATAAAAAATTTCAATAGCTCGAGCTCGACTCGAAATCAAAATGCTCGAGCTCGACTCGAGTTCGGCTCGAAAAATTGTAAGTAGAAAGGTAAAATTACCAATAAGGACCTATGTTAACATATATTATTTTAGTAATTTAACATGTATTCGAGCCGCTCGACAAGACAAAATATGGGCTCGAGTTCGGTCAAACTCGAGCTCGAGCCGAGCTTTGACTCGAGCGCTCGCGAGCCGCTCGGCTCGTTTGCAGCTCTACTTTAACCCAATGTACCCACATAAATTGTTCTTTATATTTTTCCTACTTAAAAGTGGAAAAGTATGGGTACATCTTTAATTGTATCTATTTAATATGAACTACAACTAATAGGTATTAAATTTGTGAAATAGTAATTGGCAAATTTATTGAGCTCGTCAAATATATACATTCACCACCTCACCTATGAATAATATGTAATTCTGTATGGTAAACTAGATTGGACCCGGCTGTGCACGCACAGCCGGCCCTAGTCCAGTCTATAATTATATCTAGTATTTGTAAAATTTTTAAACACACTTACCCATATTTTATGGAGCAACCAAAATGCCACATATTTTTTTGTTTGTTCAAAATGTTTTTCACAAATATTTTTTTTTCAACAATTTTTTTACCACTCTTTTGACTCATTTGTCTGTAACATTCAAACAAATTTCTCAAAATAATTTATACTCACGCACAGCCGGCCCTAATCCAGTCTATAATTATAACTAATATTTAGAACAATTTTAAAATACACATACCCACTATTTATTGCATTTATAAATCTAGCTTCGATAACATGACAACAATGCATAAGGAATTTCGCGGAGTTGCGGGCCCCCAACAAGGACGGGCTTCACGGCCTTGTTGAGGAATTGGATGGCAGCCTCGACTGCAGCCTCCAGGCCCAATGATTGCTCAGTCTAGAAACATACGGAGGTGACCATCAAAATCAGCCTAATGAATGAATAAGATTCTGAAATTTGAAAAAAAAATAAAAAATCAAAATCAGCATAATAAAGTAAGATTCCAAAATTTTGAATAATTCACAAGAAATTGATCTGAAACAGAGGAGGATGAGACTGTAGCTTACTTTGGGGAGAGCGAAAACAGAACAGGCTCGCGACTAAACGCTGGGTGAAGGATGGCCGGCAAGTTACAGCTCACGCTAATGTACACCGGCTTGCTCTCCTTCAACGCCGTCAAAATCGCCGTGTCAATCAGCTGCGCATCCTCCAGATTATTCACCACCGCCTAAAATCAACAAAGAAACAGATGCGAAATTTAATTTCTGTACTATTTCTTAGGCCAAAATAAGCGAAAAAAAGTGTGTAATCTAGCGCGAATTGCTGTAAATTATTCACCAGTACATTCTTACACGGCTCAGCTTTTGCTCACGTGAACGGGGTTGATACACGGCTCCAGATAATTTACCTTTCTTATCCTGAATATTAGCCTTGACATTGTCGATTGCATCACTCGATTCAACCACGAGTGTCATCTAACCCTAAAAAGAAAACAAAAGAACGATAGATAGACGAAAGTTTCTTATTTCATGGCTTAAATTTGAATTTTTTCAAACATAAAAAGAAATATTTAATCATGACCATCCCCCAGTCCAAGAAGATGCAAATCGAAAATGAAAAAAAAAAAAAGACGTCATACGGAGATACATATCCTCACCGCGTGCAGTGTCCAAAACGACGTCGTACACATTGGCCGTGGCTCCTCGCTCAGTCATCGTCGGCCGGATGTTCGTCAGAGAGGTGACAGTTGCTAATTCACTGCAACCTCCTCTTAATGTCGCTGAACTTCACAGCGAGCCTCTTCATCTGCACTGCCAAGATTCGGTAAATCACTTGTCGAAGGCGGAGGAGGTGGGCGGGCATGGGAGTGGTTGTTCCTTCACTGTTCAATACAATTCAACACTGCAAATTGATTGTTTTTTTGTGTGCATAGAAATAAAAATTAAATATAGTGAAACAGCTTGCAGAATAGTGTGGAGTATTGAAAATAACTAAAAAAATTGCTCTCATATGTTCAAAGCCATTATTGAAGAGCAGCTGGCTTGGCTAGTAAAACCATTACGATCACTCCTTTAGACTTCATCTGTATAAGCAGTTTGAAAGTACACAA